ATATATATATATATATATACATATACATATATTTTCTTACCTTACTCAATCTATCATCAATTGTTTCAACATACCCGCGTTTACTTCCAGGATGGCTATAACTACATTCACCATTGACAGATTTACAATTACCACAGATAGGATAGTCGCCATCACATTTAACATGTCTTTTCCTGCATCGATCACATGCATGACTATTAAGAAATTTTTTTTATTTTAAATCGAATCCAAAAGGTTGGGGAAAATGGTTAAATAAGTATATTGTTCCGAATAAACAAATAAATTAATTATATCGGAAAAAGTTTATGCGACAACCTATAAAAGTTAACCTCGAGTTTTAAGAAAAAGTTACAAAACTTTTTACACACATACATATAAATATATAATGGTGTTTTTTTTATCTCAAAACTCGAGATATGTAATGAAATTATATAAATACCTGAGTCTAGCCCTTTTCTCTCTTTCGTTAGACATATTGGACATATATTTGAAGTTCTATTTCCGAAAGTTGAAAGAGAAAACGAAGGAATGGAAAGAAAAAAATAATGAAACGAAACTGTATAAATGCGAGAAATACGGAGGGAGAAAAGAAAAAATAAATAAATAGACAAAGTTAAAGTGTTTATATACAATTTATATTTAATATATATTCTCTTATAAAATTATTAATTATTACTATAATAAGTCCCCCTAAATCAAAAAAGGGGTTTGATATTAGTTTCTTAAATTTCAAGTCGGCTCCAATTAAAACAAAAGATTTAACTTAGCACCACGAAATATATGTAAAAAAAAAAAAAATTTTTTTTTTTTCTTTTTTGTTAACACTCACAAATAATAAAAAATATACAGTAACCAAAACTAAAAGAGAGAACAAAAAGAAAGAAGAAATTTGATAAAAGAATTATATATATATTATATATATATATTAAATATTTTAAATATTATAATAATATATATATATTTATGTATATGTATATATATATATATATATATATTACTAATAAAAAAAAAAAGGTGAGAGAAAAATTTGAGAAGGGAAAAAACGACAAAAAACTGCAAATCCTAGAGTATTTTACAATTTAATAAAATACTTGCTTATTATTTGTTATGGTTTCGTTTATTGTTTACGTGACTGAATTGTATAATTTGTACAAACCACTTTTTTTTAAAAAGAATGGATAAATATAGGTTAATATGATATTTCATTTTAAAGAACCTGCATGGTAGAACACGCTCACATAAAAAAAAAAAAATAATGAATTTACTGCGCTCATTCAAGTAGGGCAAAAAACTAATTAATTTAAGGAAATTGATAGATAACTACAGAAATTGTATTGTAAAAAATTTTTTTTTTTTTTATAAAATTATTAATCAAAAATAATTTACTTAGTTTTCCACTTAAGTATTAACAATTTTTACCTGGCAAAAAACGATTTACCGTCATTCAATATTATATAAGAATTAATGGGTTGGTTTACAATTATGCAGTTCATTTATTTATTTATCTATAATAATAATAAATAGGTTAAAAATAAAACAATTTAAATATTTATTTTTAATATAAGTACTACCTTAAGGAAAATCAAATAAAAACAATTTCGCTAAGCCTTTGGAGAAAGGTACGATGAAGAATCGAAAACTAAACATATTTATTTATTATGTGGTGAAATCTTTATAAATAGAAAATAAAACGAATGGTTTACGAGAAGTCGGTAAAAGGGAAAATAATTGGCCGTGACACCATAAAAGGAAAATTTCATTTGCTGCGTCCGAACTAAAAAATCTCCGTACTTGAATCCTAACAAATTCTTTAAGGTTGTAAAAAAAATTAGTGATATAAACAAACTTTTTTAAAGTTGAAAGAATATTTATTAAGAAATTATTGATTAATTATAAATATTGTATAACAAACATATATATATTATATATCTGATATATATATATCGTATACCTTCTGATTCACACACCTGCATGTAATCTACAAAATGGGAAAAAAGAATAAATATATTAAAATTAATTATCATGCATTTTTAATAAAAAAAATAAAAATAAAATAAAATAAAATAAAAAATAAAAAGTAAAAAATGACGTGAGATGAAACGATCAATTTCATTTCCCCCACACACATTGAGAATAAAAATCTTGAAACTTTACCGGTATTTTACGAGACATAACTTGTAAATATCTTTTTCAGCCTTAGAAAAATAATAATAAATAATTCTTACCTTATTTGTACTTTCGAATTTTTTTTTTTTTCATATTTCCAGAAATAAAGCGGAATAATGAAAGAAAAATTGATTTGAATTTTCTAATAATATGGTTATCATCTGTTGTCATACATGCTACAGTATATCAGCCAAATTTTTTGATCGTAAAGCTGAAAAGAGTAAAATTCGGGTTAATCGGATGTATCGGATATTAGTGAATTGGAATGTTGGGAGAATTTTAAAGATATCATATAACAAAATTTACACAAAATTAAAAAGAAAAATTAAATGTTACTTAATCTGTCTAATCTGTCATAGTTTGACAAGAAATAATCATGTGTTGTTTGAAAAGAACTTTTTTGCATTTTTGTTAAACCCTAAAAAAAAATATATATTTATATAATATATAATATATATATTAAAAAAAGGGAATTTCTTTGTTCAATTAAATTATCAAATTTAATCAAAATTAACGTGATACAACAATCTGCAAATTATATAATTATTATAATTACTGCGCATTATAATAATAATTCTTTTGCAATTTTTTTTTTTCGCAAGTTGAATTTAGCCGATGTTTATGTTATATATAATACATATATATATATATTACGCCTAATTTAGTCAAAATAGAAAGATAAGATATTTAAAATTAGTCAAGTTATAAATTTATTTTGTACATAATATAATTATACAATAGAATATAATAATTTATTTTACCAAATGGAAAAAAGAATAATTAAAATGGCGTTTTTCGTGTAAAACTTCGTGTATATTGTTGGTGTTTCGGCTATTAAAGATTTAATCTCCTGTTCGGCAAACATTAGCCAAAGAATATTAATTATGATTCGTTCTTAACTAAAAACAAATAAATCAAGAATTCTTTAGGATTTTCTAAAATTCTCACCAAACTTAAACTAGTTCCCAGGCAAAAATAGTATATTATCAAGTTTATCATCAAGTAAATAATAAATTAAAAAAAATCTTCGATTCTCTGAGTCATCCGTAAATCATTATTTGATCATTTGGACTTGGCTTAGCCTTTTCAAAACTCCTTTTTTACGTTAATCTTTTTGATAAATAAAGTAATATAATAAAGTATCGTGAATCCTCACACATAATTCATTAAAAAGGATTCTAAAACGCATTCTAACCATATAATACTATAATCGTCGCGTCTAAAATTCGATTTCATTTCTTGATGAATCCAAATAAGTTTAATTCAATGTTTTTTCTTTATTTGTTTATCTTAGAGAAATCACTGAATTACTATAAAAAAACTCCGTGTCTTGTTTCATTAGAACAACAAAGATTCTTTGTTTACCTTTTTTTTTTTTTACTTTATTGTTTCGATTTTCTTAGAATTCGAGTTGTTTATATAAATTTTTGGTTTAGCAATAACTTTTAATGAACAATTATTTGAATCATTTAATCGTATGATTATTAATTATTATATTAAAAATCTTATATTAATTAGAGTTTTTTTCGCGTTATCAAACAAAAAAAAAAGGGGGTTAATCAATATCTCCCTGTTTTTTTATACTGTTGATATCACGTGATAAATTGAAATTACGATTTTTATGGTTTATATATCAGATTTATATATATATATATTACGGTAATATATATGTACAGTATTCACTTTTCCTTAAGTAAATAAATAAATATATATATATATCTGATATCTGATATTTTGCTTACACCAATTAAAAAAAAAAAGGGTTCGGTGATTCAAATGAAATTAATTAGTGAGACAGTGAGACAGTGAAATATTGACTCGGTGTAAAATCGATCTAACTACAATAAAAAAACCATTGTTTGGCAAAATTAAAATATTTACATGTTTCGTTAAAAAAAAATAAAAAGTGTACTTTATTTTTTGTAAATGATTTACTACAAATTTTTTGAAATAATTATTATTCTAAATACTATTATTATTATTGGCTTATTAATACATAATATATATATATATATATATATTTATTTATTTAACCTTAAAAATTTTTTTTTTTTATTCATTTTGAAATTTTTTTTTTCTCAAGTGCTGCGCCGTATTAATTATCAGCTCCTAAATCTTGTTCTTGTACCATATTGAAGTAAATTCCTTTTTGTGCTAATAACTCTTGATGAGTTCCTTGTTCCGCAACTTTACCTTCCTTAATAACAAAGATAACATCAGCATGTTGTATTGTAGATAATCGATGTGCAATAGCCAAAGTAGTTCTTCCTTTAGCTGCAACATCTAATGCTTTTTGTACAACTTTCTCGGATTCTGAATCTAATGCTGATGTAGCTTCATCCAATAATAAAATTTTAGGATTTCTTATTAATGCTCTTGCAATCGCTATTCTTTGTTTTTGTCCTCCTGATAATTGTGTTCCTTTACCTCCAACACGTGTATCATATCCGTCAGGTAATGACACAATAAAATCATGAATATTGGATTCCCTACATACTCGTTCAATATCTTCTTGTGTTGGATTTTGATTTGGTTTACATCCAAGTAATACATTCTCTTTAATAGTCATATCATATAAAGAAGGTTCTTGACTTACTAATGCAATATGTTCTCTTAAATTACTAACATTAATTTTTGTAATATCAATTCCATCAATTTCAATTTTTCCTATTGTAGTTTCATAAAATCTTTCCGTTAATCCAATAGTTGTACTTTTTCCACATCCTGATGGTCCCACTAATGCTGCATATTGACCTGGTTTAATTTCTATATTTAACCCTCTTAATACTCTTACATGAGGTCTTGTAGGATATCGAAAATGTACATCTGTAAATTTTATGTTTCCTTCAATTTTATCTAATTTCTTTCCACTATTAGACCATGAATCTATTAATGGATTTCTTTCTAAAAGTGAGATAATTGTTGCAGCTGAAGATTTCGCTTTTGCTATGTCTGGAGCGAAGGCAAAAACTCGTCCAGCAGAAATGGATCCGAATACGATAGCCATAAATACTAAAGTAAGCAAAAAATTAATTTGTCATTAATTGATACAAAATTACAATGTATTTAAAATATTAAAAATTCAAAATAAAAGATATTTACCAGTAAACATTTTTTCCAAATTGTATTCTCCGCTCACAAACTTATAAAATAATAAAATAAATAATGTATTTTGTTAATATATGAATAAAAATTTAAATACTGAAATATATATATATATATATTTTAAAAAAAATTACTTACCAATCTACTACCATACCAAAAGGCCAAAGCATTAGTTAAGAAATTAACACACTATTTATTCATACAAAAAAAAAAAAAAAAATATTTAATTAAAACTCGATTAATCAATTTAATCCTCTAACTGGACTTTACGATTGATTACCTGTGCAAACGCAAATGTTATGCTAGCAAGGAACGCGTTATTAAATCCTTGTCTCATTGGCTCGTCTAACAATTTATGGTAAATATTCCATAAATCATCTTCACGTGTTAAAGCTGCGACAGTCCTAATATTGGCGGCTCCTTCACAAGCTATTTGAGCTGAGTATTCATAAGCCAATTTATTTTTCTGTTGGAATCCACTCAGCATCTTCATCCGTAGCGCACCTGATCCAACTAACAAAGGAATACAAGCCAAACAAACAAGTGCCAGCTTCCAACCTATATTTAATGAATAGTTTTTAATAAATTTTTTCTTTAAACAGAGAAAGTTATAAAAAAAAAGTTCTTTCACTGACCTATTGCTAAAGCTACGATTAATCCTGATAAGAGGGTAGTGCACACTTGTAAAATGGTGCCTAGAGTTATCCCGGCAAGACCGTTTACATTTTGTGCATCCAATGACAAAGCACTTGTTAATACACCTACACTATGTTGTTCTTCATCAAAGAAACTAATGTCTTGTCGAAGAATTGCTGCATATGACATTGAACGAATTCGTAAAGTAAGATTTTCACCAGAAAATCCAAATGAACTTCCTTGTATAAAATTCGAAATCATTGTCACAATCGCAATAACCACTATAATAATAACAATAATAATATATTTAATAAAAAGATAATAAAAATGTGCAAACAAAATATTTTTAACTTACAAAACATAAGAGCCCAAAATTTTGCATCATTTCTCAATTCATCTCCAGTTTTTGAGAAACTTTGTATGATTTTAGCAAAAATAATAGCGAATACTGGATATACAACTCCAGAAACAATAGAAGAAAATAATCCAAGAATTATAAATGGAATCTCAGGTTTATTGATCTTAGTTACTTTTCGTAATAATTCTATTGTTGTAAATTCATAATCAAACTTCATTCCAGCTTCTAAATCAGCTTTTCTTTTGACCAATATAGCGGAAGAAGCGCTCTTGTTTGTAATTACGCGTCCAATTGCATGATCTTCTTCTGGAACGATATCTTCGTTTCTTGCCGTTACTAATACATCTGAACTGTCTTCATTTTCTGTTGATTCTTTAGCCTTTTTTGCTTGTTGAATTCTTTGAGCTTCAACTAAATTAAAATAACTTCCTTTTTTTGACATTAATTCGTCATGTGTTCCACTTTCCACTATTACACCATGATTCATTACGACAATTTTTGTAGCATTTCTAATAGTAGAAAGACGATGAGCTATGACAATTGTAGTTCTATTTTTTGAAGCTTTATCTAAAGCATCTTGTACAATTCCTTCACTTTGCGTATCTAATGCACTCGTGGCTTCATCCAATAATAAAATTTTTGGATCTTTTACAATAGCTCTAGCAATTGCAATACGTTGTTTTTGACCTCCGGATAATAAAAATCCTCGTTCACCTACGTTAGTTTCATATTTATCTGGTAAATTCATAATAAAATCGTGTGCATTGGCCATTCTGCATGCTTGTTCTATCATTATTTGTTTCTTGTCTTTATCAATGTTTTCATAAACCGAGCCAATTAATCCATGCGCAACATTTCCTGCAATTGTGGTATTAAATAATACAGGTTCTTGCCCTACTAAGCTCATTTGTCGTCTCAGCCATTGTAAATTCAAACCTTTAATATCATGCCCATCAAGGTAAATTTCCCCTTCAATTGGATCATAAAAACGAAGAGCAAGTGAAACGATTGTACCTAAAAAAAAAATGAAGCAAAAAAGATTTCAATATATTTTATTTAAATAAGATCAATGATGTTCTAATCTAACTATTTGAAACATTTACTTTTGCCAGAACCAGAAGAGCCAACAAGAGCAACGGTAGAACCAGGTTCAATTTCTATAGATAAATTTTTCAATGTCATAACTTCAGGGCGGGCAGGATAAATAAAAGAAACATTCTTTAATTGAATTCGGCCTTCAACATTATCTAATTTCTCTCCGGATTCAGATGCAATGTCTAAGTACGAATAGAAAAAAAAATTAACACTTAATTTATAAGATTTAGAAAGATCGATAACTACGAACCTATAGGTGGTATACGGTTTATAGTTTCGAATATTTTACTACCCGCTCCAATAGCAAAACTGAATGCTTGTAAATCTGGTGCAATGTGTCCTATATAATTATTTAGACTCATCGTTATTACATTTCTAATAATACCTGTACATTTAATATTTTAAATTTGCAAATAAAGTACAAAAGCATTTTTATTTCTATAAAAAATTTCTATAAAAAAAACGAACCTAAAGCGAAAGCTCCTATAAGCACCGCAAAAAATACGTTGACGACCTGTAGCGCAGCAAAATTTCAAAATACAACAATAAGACAGGTTTTAAGATTTGATCGGAATTACTTTATACTTACATCACCAGAAGTTAATTCTCCTTTCAAGAGAAGAGTACTTCCATACCAAAATGCAAGAGCATAAGTTGAATACATAAAGAAATATGTAGCTCCGAGACCAGCACCGTTCAAAATACTCTTCTTAATACCTTCTTTCTTTGCAAAAATTAAATGCGAATCATATAGTTTTGAAAGCTTTGACTGAATTCCAAAGGCAACTGCTGTACGAATCGTGGATATAGACTCCTCAGCAATGGTTCCTATTTTCATTATTGTATATCAGTATATGTAATCAAAATCTTTATAAAAAAACTAATAAAAATACAAATGAACTAGCCGTACCTGATTTAGAATAATAATCTAAAGAACGTTTCATAAATATCGCAGTGAACTTATTTAATAGTGTAGATGTTATGGAAATACATGGGATTAAAGCACAAATCACTAAAGTCATTTTCCATGATTTTATAAAAGCTATTACAAAGGCCGATAAAAATTGAGCAGCGTACTATATTTTCAGAGGATAAAATTTTAGTTAATTTGTTGGTTCAGCAAATATTTAAATATTTTTTATACATACTGAGATAGACATGGCAACTTTTTCGCTGATACCATCTTGAATTAAATGTGTATCAGAAGTAATTCGAGTTGTTACTTCACCAGCACCAAGCTTATCGAAATACGCAACATTCTGTCTTAAAATAGAGCGTAAATATCTTTCTCGAATTTGACGCGTTAATCTTTCACCGGTGTATACCCAAGCAGCCATATAAATATAGGTACTGAAAAACACGATTATAGCCAGATATACAAAAAATAATGCGTAATAGTTTACTTTGTCAAGGAAATTGGCATTACTGATTTGTCCTTTCTGAAAATTCGTAAAATAATTGATCATCTCTCCGAATATAACAGTTGTTATAGGCTAAAAAATTTAAAAATTGAAGAAGATTCATTGAATATAATTAAGTGTGTATGTAAAAGAAAAATATAAATAGAATAAATAGTATTTTTCTTACTATAGCAGCACCGGAAATGATAGCAAAAATGGTTCCAATGATCATAATAAGCCAATCCCGTTTACTAGCAAATCTATATAATTGCCAATATGTAGCTTTCGTTCGTTCAATTTTCACTTGTTCATTTAATATTTTTTCTTTTGTTTCGTCGAGGTTTATGTCTGTAGTTTCTTGATTAATATTAACCGTCACAATTTCCGAATCATCGTTAATTACTTCCTCGGACATGATTGATATGTTTCTTAATAATTCCTTAATATTATCTTAATCTTTTATTTTATTTTTTTTTTATTGATTTATTAATTTTTTATTAATTTTATTACGAAAAAAAATTTTCCGCTGATTTTTTTTTCAGTCTTCCAAAGGGTATTTTATAAAAATAAAAGGGTAAAATGTTTTACCGGATGATTGACTAAAGTAATTGGATTTGCCGTTTTGCCGAATTTTTAATGAATTCTTAATATTCTTTTTTACGGTAAAAAAATTTTCCTTGAATTTCTTAGACACGATGTAATTGATAAACGGTTTATCCACTATTTTCTTGGCAAAAAGTATGAATTTAATTTAATTCGGTATACGAAAATCATAAACAAATAAACAATCACATGTCCAATAACAGGGTCTAAGAAACTTTTCCTTAAACAGTAATATGTATACCGCAACATCAAATCATGATTTTCGTTTTTCGTTTAAAATTTAAAAATTTCCTTTAGTTTAAACTGATAATGTAATTAATGTAATGTATATCCGTTATTATCATCTGGGTACTGTACAGATATTTGCAGATATAAATTTTGTTCTTGGGTCTAAAATAAATGTTAATCCTATCAACGAAAATTATTTTTTAGTTTTTAAATAAGTAAGTATCACAACAGTCGAACAGGTTTTTGATAGATACCAAGATCCGTTTTACCCGATATTACCTAAAAACACTAATTCTTTTCGTCTCTCGACTTGCAGATCAAGTTCCGATCTTAAGTTACACAATGCAATCTAAGAATCTAAGATCTTTCAAGCATGTCATCACTATCATATAATCGTCGTTATTATTTCTGCATAGATTATAGAAGTAATATGTAAATAATATATAATTATTATTTTATCAGTAAATTTATTTAAGAAAAAATTTATTTCTCACTCCCGAATTTAATATATAAAAATGACGTCATGCTGATCATTTGTAAAACCCTACAGTGCATACAACCTAGTCCCAACAAAAAAATTTTTAAGCGGCCAAATTTTTTATATTATGTAATACTTAATCCTGTAATTTTATTGGTCAGATTTATTAATTTAAGTTATAATTCTTAATTCTAGCCAGAATTATATATAATTTTAGCAAATGAAAGTAATTTTGACCAGATTTACATGTAATTCTGGTCAGAATAAAATGGCCAAATATTTAATTCAATAGTAAAATATTTCAACTTTGAATTGCTACTACTTTATTAAAAAATACCTTACAGGAAATTTAAAAACATAGTTTTATTAAGCTTAATCTGGTTTATCATTGTATGTTTATACTTTATGTTTATCTTTTTTTTTGAATGAATAGTAGTGATTTAAATTTCATCAAATTTAATTGCTGGGACTAAGTTGTATGCACTGTAGTCATGGCGAAAAATTGTCACACTTTATTCGTCACTGTTTATTTTCACGTGTTAGTGCATAACGCTGTAATGCGGCTAAAGTCACGTGACCGCAACTTTTTTTCGCCATGGCTAGTTATTAGATCATTTTCCAAGACATACTTTTTTAAAAATAAAACTTAAAATAAGCTTTGTATAGCCTTTAAAATTAGAATTTAAGGTAATTTTGCCTGCTTTACAAATTTACTTGATACTTTAAAAAAAGATTATAAATACCATTTTGATCTTTTTAACAATTTATAATTTGGGAAAGATAAGAATTAAGGAATATTGAATCTCATCCAGAGTGAGGATTAATAAATTCATCATTATTTTAATATTTTAAATATTGGGTGTCTGATTTTACCAATATATAAATTTATTAAAATCAAATGATTTTATTTTTATATATAAAAAATTAAAAATCTTGTATAAAAAATTTTTAATTAAACAAGATTTTAAAGGAAATTTTGACATTATTGCAGAAGTTAGTTTAGTTAACTAATTTGTAATGTTAGCTTTGATAGAATTTATTTTCAAGTTTATTTTTCTTCTATGCATTTTGCAGAATTGGACTCCCTTTTTATCTTTTTTTTCATCCAATATGTTGGGCTTTTTATGCAACTATATTATATAGAGAAATCAGCTTTACTACAAAAAATGAGTCTGCCAGTTAGATTTTGTGCATTGTGTAATTTGTGTTTCAGATCAGTAGTACTGTAGCATTATATTTCTTTATTTTCAGTCTAAATATCTAATTAAATATATTTATCTTTTAAAATTAAAATAAAATAAATTAAAAAAATTTTTAATTAGATTACATATAAATAATTAGATAAAATATACAAAGTTAAAATAAACTAAAACTTAAAATTAAATAAATAAAAAAATAAATATACAGTCAACCCTTGTTATAACAAACCCTAGAATCCAGACCTCAACTTCGCTATAAGACTATAGTGAAGATTTTAAGAGATTTAATTGGTTAATTTATTATAGCGAGGGAAAATTTATTATAGTTGTCTGAAAAATTCACTATATCAAGGATTTACTATATTAAGGTTTGACTGTATAGTCAAAATTAAAATAAAATTAAAATCAATATAAAATAAAAAAAAAATCTAAAAAAAGAAATAACTTAAAAAAAAATTTAAAGAAAAAATCTAAACTTAAAATTTACTATTTATTAAAATATCAAAGTCAAAAAAAAAAAATCAGTTGTAATGCAAATATATTTGTCTATTAGTAAAGTTACTCTTAGTAAAATAGTAATATATATTAGCTAATATTATTTTTATCTCAAGTAAAATTTTTTTTAACCAATAATATTTAATTATAAATAATAAGCGAAAATAATAAATAAAAAAATTATTTTGTTAAAATTTTTAACATAAACATTAGTGTAAATATTACTAATTAAATAAAAATTATGTATTTATTAATAAATAATATTATAATGAATTATATGAAATTATTAAACTAATGTTTTAAATTGTCACAGTATTTATACTAAATTGTTTAAAATTATTACTAAATTTTACTAAATTATTTTTGAAAATATTGCATTTATACTATTTATATAAATTATCCTTGAGAATATTATATTTTCATTTAATAATCAAATTTATTACAATTTTCTACAATTTGCATTACATTTACAATTGCATAATATTGCTAAAAAATTCACTTAAATGTTTGATAATTTACATAATATTACTAAAAATTTGAAAATTTGACTAAATTTTCTATAATTTACATTATATTTTAAGGCAAAATGTAGCTGGCGATTTGGGTTGCCATGGCGACCCTATAATAATAAATCATATAATTTTGTATTACACATGTATATTTATGACATCATGCATATGATAGATCGTGAGTTATCACATATTATTACACACGTACATATTTATAATAATAAATACCAATAACTAATTTTTTTTTCACTCTCATTTATTCACGTTTATTCAGAATAAATGGCCTGTATTTCTTAACTAAAATACATATTTTACCTTGATTTTTTTGATAATAAACTGCTTGTTTACTTCTTTTAAAACTAATTACACATGCTTTACCTTTGTTTTTTAACTTACAATTGTGTATTATGGAAAAAAACATTCAAGACGTTGAACTAGAAGCTTTGTTGGAATATGATAGTGTAGAAGAATTTTCTGATACTGACAGATTAAGTAATAGAGATAGTTTAAATGGTATGTTTAATAATAAATATGAAATTGAAGATATTACCAAAGAGGAGGAAGAAGAAGAAGAGGAGAAGGAAGAGGAAGAGGATACTATGAAGTTTTATGTTAGCAAGACCTTTCATAATTAGGATTTTGTAGCAAATTTTATGAAAAAATATGCTGCTACCAAAGGCCATAAAGTAAGAATTGGTGGAGAAGAAAGGATAGATAAAACAACACAAGAAATAACAAAACGAATATACTTGTGTTGCCATGCTGGAAAAGCTAAGTCCAAATTATCAAAAAGACAAACCAAGTTGAATATCTATGGAGAGTAAATATTTGGGCAAAAAAAAAGTAAAGGTTGTCTTGAGATCACAACTTTACATAATCAACATGTCGGTCATAAAGGATCCTGAACAATATATATAAAGGTAGGTTTTAAGTTTGCTTAACCAACATAAAAAATTTTTCCTATATGAGATTTATTATTGCTTATTTGATAACATAATTTTAAAATAGTCAGATATAATTATGTGTAGCAGAGTATTAAATTATTAATAGTCAGATATATATTTGCGTAACAAAATAGAATTTTTTAATATATATATAATATAATATATATTTTACATTTTTCACATTAAAAAAATCTAATAAAATGTGTAAACAAAGTTATAAACATGTTTGTGTAAAAAAAATTTACTATTTTTAATACAAAGATTAAGTTAATTGTATACGTAATACAGGAAACATTTTTAGACGTGATCGTGTAATGTATTTTTAAAATTATAAATCATATACGCATCTATATAACAGTTAAAAAATATAAAAAATAAGTGTTTTTCTGTTTTTTTTATAATTTTATACTATAATTTTTGTAATAATCAATAAAAGTTATTTCATTTTTACTTGAAAATTTTTTAAAAATATTTTTTTGACAAATTTTACAGTAAATTTTAAAAATAAAAATTCTGCGTATTGGTAGTGTTATAAAAAACATGAATAAATCCATAAATATTTATTCAATCATGATATAAATTTATATGTAAGTAGATTCGAACCTGCTAAACAACTTTACTTAAGAAGATTTTAGATGTTTCCTTTGACTAAAGTGCCTAAATTACGCTCTGAAGTCACAGAACAGATATACGAAATATTAATAAGAAATATTTATAAGTTGTAATATTACAAAAAAATAATAATAGCTTTATCTATACATTATTTCAAAAATTTTTGTTTTTTTAGTTTTTTTTATATACATATTTTATAAAAAAAATTATATATAAATATATATATGTCATAAAATAAGTTGCTTAGCAGTGTAAAAAATTTATAAGTTAGATAAAAGTTTGCTTAACAGACATGAAAAATATTTGCTTATTGACTTTAGTAAATTTTGAATTTTTCATCCGACCTATATATATTGTTCGGGGTCCTGGTCATGAGCTTCATCCATCAGCAATTAAATTTGTCCCTACATTACGAAAATTATCAGATGAGATTATGGAAGAAATTCGCTTTTTAACAGT